GTAACTGAAAAAAGTGACTTATGACCGTTTTTCACACTTGTGACCCCCTCCCCCATAGCATCCCCATGATTGTTTGATCAAAATTTGTATTCATGATGGTTGCAGTGTCACTTTTTGTGACCTTCCGGCAAGTAGTCAATGGGAAAGCCAGATTCATTTAACAGCCATGTTACTAACTTAAGCACTGCAGAAATTCACTTAACAACTATGGCAAGAAAGGTCGTAAAATGGGCCAAATTCACTTAACAACTGTTTCAACTGTTTTAGCAACAGAAATTTAGTCGTAAGTTGAAGATTACCTGTATTCGTGCTCACGTTCTGCGTTTATGCTGAGATTTTAAAATACATTTTTTAAAAAAATCCAAAGTCTCTATGTTGAATGCAGTATGCATATTGAGTTGTGGTGGGAGCCAAGGGGATTCCCACAGTGCTGGTTTTCTGCCTGTTGTGTACCCAAGCTGAAGACGCCATCCTCCATTATTTATTGAGCTCTCTCCCACCCTTGATCCGTGCTACTCTTCTGCATAACTTTTGCTCACTTGACTCTATCCATGGGTGTTTGCGTACAGGCACATTTGATTCTTATTCCAATCGGAACTTTTCAGAGTGCATTATTTTTATTTTTAGTAGGATTTTACTCTACTAGGGCAGCATTGTATTGTTACAATCATTGTGTTCTTCTATTTATTCATACAAAGCAGAAGTGCTTAAAATTGTTTTAAAGGTTTCTTTTTTAAAAAAAAAGAAAACAAACCCTGTAATAATGGAACATCGTAAATTAGTGTCTGTGTCTGCTGGTGGCTGGCTGCTGCAGACTGTATCATCTGCCTCCTCCTAAGTGCTAGCAACTATTAAAGAAAGTTGATGAGAGATTAGTGCTTCCTCTGCCCTGTAAGGTGTTAGCTAAGTGTCCCCAGGAGTTTAATTAAAAGCATCTGGAAAGACCTCTGTTTTTTTGTTGCTGTTGCTGTTGAGGACCCAGAGAATTTTCCTGATAACATATTAAATATTGTTCCCATGTTAAAGTTTTCCTAGGAAGAGTTTAAAAGGGAAGTTGAAACCCTTCACCATTTTTTCTGCAGGTCAGTTGGTCAGTAGCAGTCAGTTTGGACCTCTGTGCCACCTCCTCTTGTGACTACAGGATGCAAAACAAGGGAACAAGAGGCTGATCCCAAAATCTCTTGGTTTGCCTTTGAATTGTCTGCCTATCGCGCTCACAATATTTTAAAGTTTTGTTCTGACAGAATGTGAACTTTGACTGATTATGTGTCATCAAGTCAATGTTCATCTTAATTTGGCTTGGAAAAAGAAGGGGGTGCCAAAAGGTATAGAAATTATCATCTCTCTTCGTTTTATTAATTGACATCTCTCCCCCCGCCCCTTGCACCTGCCCAGGATACTAGTGATTTATTCCTTAGTCAGTATTACTTTTCTTGACGTTCATTCTTATTGCTTCCAGAGAAATTAGACCACAGTAATTCTATTAAGATTGAAGATAATTAAATAACCAAAATATTTTATTTTTATAAATAGAATAGCCTTTTCCTACTGCAGGCTCACTAACCTTCCTTGTACTGTTACACTCATTTCCTTTATTCTATATGAGTGGGGTTGGTTCTTTTTCAATCCAGCTGCAATCAATAAAAAGAAAACAGTGAATCTCTAGTTTTAAAAAGCCATACAATATGTTCATATTTAATGGTGCATTATTCTACTAACAACTTTTCTTGTAACTCTTGCCACACCATCCATCCAATACTCCTTGATGGACATAGGATTCCTATTAACCCATAAAATCTCATTTCATTTTAACCACAACAACCTCCAACTATTTGCATCTATATTTATGCTGTCAGTTGAGAAATATATTATTTATTCCTTGGAGGAAGGAAAAGAACCTGTTTTGTTTGTTCATTTATCCTTTAAGGCACACCTCTACAAGTTAATAACCACAAATTTACAGACTATGTAATCCCAGTTTAATCTACAGGCTGGGCACAGATTATACACAGAAAATTACATTGTCCACAACTTCCAAAAGGTAAGCTAACTTGCAACATTCTGCTTCTTTGAATCTAGAAAATATTCAAAGCATTTGACCTTGCATTTCTGGTTTGTTCCAACACAAACAAAGAGAAACTAGCAAATGCAAATTTAGACTAATTTAAATGAATGATATCCTGCTAAGTAGGAGAATTCTCAAACTAATGTATAAGCCCCCGTCTCTCCACACAAAACAAAGTAAAATATGAAAAATGGACTATTAAGATCTTATTACCCTTAATGCATTTGGAATATGCAAAGACTGATTTTCAACCTGAGGGCTAAAGCTGCTGCATTTACAGCAAGATTAGATTATTAAATTCCTCATTTGCTTTTCATAATAGTTTTTTCTATAAAATTGGGGAGGAATTGAATTTAAAAGGACATTTTGCAGATGCTCAGATTTGTCTGATTTCTCTCCCCCACCCCAAATTCAAGGTTTGGTTCTAAGCAATCAATAAGTATATGTATATCAAGATGAATTTCTTAAACTTATTGTTTAGATGTTGCAATTGAATACTGGCAAAAGTATTCAGTAATAAAGTTGCACAGTCTTGTGAACTTTCAGTTAAGTAATAATCCTTCATGTAAAGCTTCATGTAAAGCTTATAAGAAAAATATGGAATTAATCAAGCAAAACTCATAGTTTGCTGATATTAATAAAGAAAAACATACATTTTGCCAATTTAAGGAGAATTCAGTTTCATAGCTTTTACTTCTTATACATCTTCCCAGAGACCTCCAAAGAGATATAATTGGCTTCATATTTGATCCATGTTATTCTCTCTTTTTGCGTTAACCTGGGCCACATTGTCCTAAATGCTTCAAGGCTTTCATTGGCTCAGTTGAACATAAAATAAGCATTCATTAGCCTAAAGGTTTACTCTCTTTGGAAGGTCCAAATCTATTTATTGGGCAATCTCTTTCCCTTACTTGCTCCTCACACAACAGGTGTAATTATTTTCTATCCCACCAGCTACATTATTTACATTTTGACTTCTTAATTTCCAGAAGATTCCTGATAAAGTAAGTATACTCTAAATGTCCGTTTAAGTAAGTTCCAACTAAATAAGATTCCTATAATAAAATTTGATTTCTCGTATGTATTATTTTATTGTAGATGCCTTACAGGAAGGGTTCCCAATACAATGGCTGGGTGGGAACAAATGCATCTTAATCACATCTGTATTCACCTTCCCTATCGATTTCTTACACTTTTTTTAAAAAAAATGTTTGTAAACAAATTGGAAATCTAAAGCAAACTACCCAAACATTACCTTGTTTCCAAAAGTAGCTGTGAGGTATAAATTTGATTCATAAGCTTCCTCAGAACATAGAGAGTTATGGTTGTAAGCTAATACTTTGTTAAAGGTAACCTTTAACCTTTAGCCCAGAATAATTTTTTTTTAAAAGCAGTAGTAATATGAAGTCCTTGATGATGAGATAGCATTTTAGAAAATTGGTGCTTTCTAACTTCAAATTGCTGACCAAAATATGTTAAGACGCACTGTTGCTAAAAATGAAAGATTTAGTGATATATTTGAAAATATGTGTTGTACAAAATTCTAATGCAGAAATGCATAAAGGACTTATCAATGTGACTCAGTCCAAGGTATTATTTCTGCACAATTACTTCTATTTCACATATTTCGTACTATTTCTATTTTTATGCATGAAATACTTTCTTAGATCCATTCAGATAGTTAAAATTATGCTATTTCATCCATTCTGATAGAGCCCATTTGCTCTTCATAAGAGTTTTTTTCTGGTTATCTTGGTAGATTACCAATACCAAAACAAGTCAAGGGAAATACAGCCCTGCTCCTTTTACCAGATAATGCTGATCATGATTTTCCTTCATGACATGACATTCCATAGTGCTATATTTTACCTTCTACTAATATGCATGAAGGTACTGAGAGGTGTCATTTGGAGTTTTGGTATGCAGTATTCTTAATACCTGGAGCTCTATTGAATCTTACTATTCAACTTTAACAAAATAATTTGTACTGTTAAAAATTGTTTAATTTGGATAAGAACTGGAACAGAGCAAGCTGAAAAAGGAGTAGATGCAGGGGTGAAATTTGACCGGTTCTGTCTGGTTCGGGCGAACCGGTAGCTCCAGCGGCAGGAGGCTGTGCCAACCCACCCCAGACATCATCACATCCAGTTTTTGAAGCTCTGCATATGTGCGCACACTCACATTTGCGAACCAGTAGTGAAAATAAGTTGATTTCAACTCTGAGTAGATGTTAAATAGGGAACTGGAATCAAAGATGAAAATTTAGCCTGTTTTAAAGGGAGTTTTACACCCTTTGAAAAACTTACAATCTTGAATCCTTGGGTGTTGTTGGATTCACTGGGAATAACTACATTTAGAAAGATTTTGCACCATTATGCCTGATACAACCTCTTCTAAACTAGCCAGACTTAGCAACCATTATACATGCCTTGATTGCATTCCACATTGATACAATAATATACTCTACATGGGGTTACCCTGGAGAAGCTTCAGGAATTTGTAACTGATATAAAATGCCACCTCTAGGATACTAACTGGCACAAGGTACAAGATATATATTATAAAATATCTGCAAATTTTATAAATTGCTAGAGTAGATTTATTCTGAGGTGTTGATATTGTTCAATTAAATTAAGTTTTAAATCATTTAAGGCCCGCTTATCTCCTATTTTGAATTTACACAACTGTTAAGACATGCAGAAGAAACCTCTGTTGTCAGAGCCCTGTCTTTCTGGTTCGTAGGGAAGGAGTATTGCATGAGCCACTCCAATCCAAATATTTAAAAAGCCTGTACAGGTTTTTTCCACCAGAATTTTAATTAGGATTTATTTTATTGATAATTTTAAGGTATAACCTTATGGCTTATACTCTTTCTTGCTTTTAAATTAGGTTATCTGGTTTGGTTATACACCGATCTGTAAAGCTGAGATATAATTCAAATAAATAAATAATGCCAGATATGTGTACAGTTATTATAACGTTCTGCAAAGATCCAGATTCAAAGGACAAAATGTGATTCAGAGTTCATGAAGCATCTGTCAGGAATCCCTTAAATTAGCTGCAACATTTCTGGAGTTACAAGGATGACTCTGTAGCTGATCTGGGACAGCTACACAAATGTTGTTTAAGATATTTCTAACAGATGTGCCTGTATGAACTCTAATCACATTTTATGTTCCAAATGTGGAGTTCAGCATATTCCTTATATCTTAAACATTTTGTTTCTGTTACTTCTTTTCAGTTCCCTTAAATAACCAATAGGCCTCAACAATATCCATATTCTTCTAGACATCATATTACTAAAATATATACTATAGTACTATACACTCCAGAATCAAATAGGTATGGCAGCGATCTGGTGGGATATTTCCCATAATGAATATGATTTTAAAAAGTCACAATTGATATCATTAATGTTCAAAATAACAGAAAGAGACAAAATATGTATTTAAGAAGAAGTTATTATTATCCCAATATAATAAAGGTCTTTGCTGACAAACCTTTATATATTATCTGTAGAAATCCTGAAAAACCAGTGAAATGCTAGATGATTGGTAGACTAATGATACTGCTATCTTCCAAAAGGAGAAAATGAAAGAGTTGGGGAATTATAGATCAGCATTCTATAGTTTAGTTTTAGACCACCCAGAGTTTCCTTTGATTTAGATGGTTGACAAAAAAATAAATGAAATAAATAAAATTTGATCCCAATATCTGGAGTTGATCATAAATAATTTATAAGTACTTGAAAATGTGTGGTAATTACAACAGTGTATGGATTTGTCAAAAATAAATCTTGCCAAACTGGATATATGTTATCTCATTTTATTGGGCGTCATTGTGAAGTGGTATATAAGTCTAAGTTAGGGATGTCAAACTCGATTTCATTGAGGGCTTCATCAGGGTTGTGTTTGATCTCAAGGGGCCAGGGTGGGCATGGCCAGCTCAACATCACTCAGGTTGGGGTTGGTTATGGTGGCCTGAGCACTCTGCCAGTGAAAACGGAGCTAAGAAGGGCCTCTCCGAGCTCCATTTTCACTGGCAGAAGCACTGCAGACCGGCCCTTCACAGTTTCTAGGGCAACCTTGCGGGCCAGATCTAAGCATCCTGTGGGCCTTGAGTTTGACACCCCTGGTCTAAATGCTATTATTATCTTCCTTGGTAGAAGGAAGGAATGCTACAGAATATGATATAACTTGATTTCAGCAAAGAATTTAACAATGTATCCCCATTCTTTGTGATTAGGAAACCGTTAAGCGTGGACTGAATAGATGATAAATAGATACAGACTCCTTGAAAACTGTTCTCAAAAGAGAACTCAACAATGATTCAAAAACAAACCGGAGTGAACAACCTCAGTTCTAAGTCTGGTTCAACAATACTACTTGGAAGAAATAATAAAGGAAACCATTGTCAGATTTGCAATGCCACAAAATTGTTTGAGATAGCTAATATCTTAGATATCAGAAATATAATTTAAATCAATCTTAAGTTAGAAAACCAGGCGAATGTAAATAAACAGAGACAAATGTAAAGCTATACACTTACAGAAAACAAAAATCAAAAGCATAGTCATAGGATACTACATTTCTGGCTTGGTGCGAGTTCTTGCAAAAATATAGTCTTGGAATAGCGGTGGGCCTTGACAAAAGATGAATGGATAAAATGAATAAAAGGGGGCATGACAGCTTTTTTTAAGGATCTGAAAGGGTGCTGCATATAAGAAGGCTGTGGGCTGCTTCAGACTGAAGGACACAGAATAATGGATTTAAGCTACAACCCAGAGGTGATGGGCTCCTCTTTACTGAATAGTTCAACTGGAGGCTGAGGAACCATTGGTCAGGGATGGTTTAACATAAATTTATGGGGTGGGGATGGATCAAGATGGTCTAAGTGATTCTAGAATAAAGCAGAGAACATTATAATACACCATACCAATTTGAAGCTTGGCTGATGTCACCTAATTAATGGAGCTGCAGTATTAAAGACTACCTACAATTTATAGCAAAGTTTGTTCTGTGATAGAGGATACAGAACTCTGTGTTCTTCTGTTTAACTTGGTTTCTTGGTTTTGTTTTATTTTATTTTTTTTAACAAATTTATATGGCTGCCCATCTCATGGAAAGTGACTCTGATTATAATAGAAAGCCAGGCACAAACTTTCCATATGGTGTAAGGATTTTTGTGCCTCATAATTTCTGACTAATCCCATGACTAGTAGTACTGAAATAATCTGAATAAATGACACATGAAATTTTACGCACAATAACTGCACGAAGAATAATTTGTCATTCTTTTTCCCTCGTTTTCTGCACAGAACAGCCACAGCCAGCTAGCACTCTTTTTAATTTATTTTATGCACAAAACACTCAGCCAGATAACATTTCAAGGAAAATTCAATATTTATGCTAAACAAAATGTGATTCATTTCCCTTTGCTTAGATTTATTTTTCTTACCACTATTGGTCGGTATCAGTAATGCAAATAAAATAGTAAAGCAACCAGGCCCTACTGTTTTCCATGAAGTTTTTACTTTTAAGTTAACAAAGTGCAGATGGTATAGGAATGGTCAAGAAACCCCAGAAAAACTAGCAATGGCTACCTGCTGGGGGAAATCATGTAGAACATGCCCCAGGGGCTGTTTCTTATGATCTCAATTGCAAATCATGAGATGGATTATCAGTCTCATGACTGATCCAAGCGAGTAGAAAGCTTCAGAAAAGAGAGCTTGTAATAATATTTAAAGCAGGCCTGCAGAGATTTTACATGCTGAAAAAGCCTCATAAAATGTAATGTCAAGTAAATGTTCATAGTTATTTTTTTCTCTAAATATACCATGTCAGGGGAATGTGTGATTGTTTTATAGGTCAAGAACCCTAAACAAATTTAGAAAGGAGTACAAATTGGCTTTCCTATTTCAATGCATGTACTATTGGTATTCAATAGAATTATCTTGCCAATGTACATTCCTCACAAAACAGGCTTTCTATTCCCATTGAAAGGTACAGTATTTAAGTGCAACAAACTTCTATTCTATTAAGGAGTCATTCTAAACGGAGACACGAAAAATGAGTTCCAGTAAAGTCAATTGGGATATGCTTCTATACAATGCACTTGGAATGAATACAATAGTTTAATGAAAAGATCCACTTCAATGCAATCTGTTGCTAACCCCCAACAATTGATGAAAGTTTTTTTTAAAGAAAAATGCTGAAATAAATGTTGAGGGGGGGGGAGTCCTGGTGATTAATTTTAACAATTGCTCCCACCTTAATTTCTTCAGAATGAAATTAGAGGGTGCAAGTGATGTGTTGAAGTGAAATCTTCACCATAAAAGCATGCAGCAGTTATGGAAGAATAAAAAAAAGTAAATGAAAAAGTTAAACGAAAGAGAAATCGTAATTTTGGGGAGGAGCAATCAACTTGAACCTCTGTGTTGGCAACAGCTACCCTGAATCTAATTAATTCATTTGCAAAGAAATGAATGCAGGATATGCTGCAGAACTAGGATTTGAAGCCTGTTTACACGAGGCAAAAACCAACCACAGTAAGTCTCATTGAAGCCCCCTCCATAAATACTTCCACTCAACGCAGCCAAGATGAGGACCGAACCCTTCCGTTCTCTTATCTTGCATGTCAACTGTATCCAGGAGCAACCTCCAAGAATGGGGAGGGGGGAGAGAGAAACAAGCAGGGCACCCAAGGATCCATATTCGCAGCCTCAAAACTTGCCATCCTCTCTCTTTCATCTGTCACGAAGACAGTCGGCGGGGGCGACTGTCTCCCATCCCCGGATCAACATTTCCCCAAACAGAGAAGGGGGCCGGCTTCGCTCAGCCCCTTCGGGATCGGAAGCCATCGCAAATTCCCTAGAAAGAAGAAAAGCCGCGTTCGAGGCTCTCCAGGGGCAGCTGCCAAACAACATGTGGCGGATGGAGAGGGGAGAGGGGGGAATTCTACGTTAAACGAGGCGGTCGGTATCCGGATTCTCCCCGGGTAAGGGGTAAAGTCGAGACCGCGAAAGAGGCAGCGCGCCCCCCCCTCTTACTTACGTATCTATTAATAAGAGTCCTGAGGCGGCTGCAATCCATGGTGAAGCGACTGGCAGCTGCTCCGGCGGCGCCCTCCCTTCGCTGCTCTCGCCCAAGGGGGGGATTCTTTCCGCCTCGGCTCGAGCTCGGCTCACACTTCTGCTTCCCGCACCCACGCTGGGATTTCTACCTCACAGCAGCCCCGGTCGCAGCCCTGCCCTGCCATGACCTGCCGGGTATTCTTGGCGGGAGCGTCTCGTCTCTCGCTCCCGCTCTGTCACGCGTGCATCGGGCTCGCTCGCCTTCCCATGTGCGCTCCGGGTCTGCGGTGCCCGAATCGTTCGCACCCGCCGGCACGCACGGCAGCTGGCTTCGGAAGGAGGCGGAGGAAAGACGAGGCAACTTTGCTCGCGGGGAGAGAGAGAGAGAGACGGGCAGATGGCCGGAGAGCGAGCCGAGGTTGCTTCGCTCTTGCTCTCCTCCCAGAAACTTCCCGCTGCGCCGGGCCGATTCCTGCGCAACCCCCGCGAGCCCCGCTCGCTTCTCCGTCGGGTTTTTTTTCCTCTCTCCCTCTTCTTTGATCTTTCCCTGCTAAGCCAGGCAGCTCACGTCATACGGCGCGGGCGAGCATGCGCGGTCCAATCTCCTCGCCAGGAGCAGCACACTCTTCCATCTCCGCCCCGTTGTTTCCCACAAGTGCTCTCCTGCTCGCCCCGATTTCCAGGACTGCCGGAAACAAAGTCGGAAACGAGGTTGCCTTACGCGCACCTTAAGGGACCGGGGAGGGGGTGCGGGATGGCCGAGCGCGGTGCATTGGCAGGACTAGATGGGAACCTCACCAAGCCCCTGACAGTTAGAACAATTAATCAGTGGAGCAACTTTCCTCCAGAAGTTGTGAATGCTCCAACACTGGAAGTTTTTAAGAAGATATTGGATAGCCATTTGTCTGAAGTGGTGTAGGGTTTCCTGCCTAAGCAGGGGGTTGGACTACAAGATCTCCAAGGTCCCTTCCCACTCTGTTATTCTATTCTATTTTCTCCCTCTGGGCTCATCGATGTCCAACAGAACAAACTTCAGAAGCGCTCAACCCGAGATGGTGTTGTCTGACAACTTCCGACGCGCTCTTTTGCCCGCTGGGCCGTTGAGAGCTTGGCCGGTCTGAAATAACCATGGAGGGGAAATGGAGGGGGAGCGGAAGAAGCCGGGGAAACAACGGCGCCTTTTGTTCAGCCGAGAGCGCAACTGTAGTTTTTCTTCAGATTCCGCCCAGGCTGTTGTTTATTTCCTCCCCGTTTCCTTCCCGGACACCTGGCGAAAAAGGCGATTCATCTCGCGTTCCCGCCCCGGCCTGATACTCTCCAAAAATCCTCAAAGCACCAAGCTGGGGAAAGTTGGCGTGAAAAGCAACGGCGAGCGTTCCAGATCCCCAAACTCCCAACGCTAAGACGGACAACGCGCGAAGCCCCGTTTGTCAAAAGCGCGTGAAAGCGATTGAAAGTTCAGGAGGGGAGAGGGGCGCAGCCTGGGCTGGAGGGCAAGGAGCATCCTGGATACGCTGAGTTATTGCCAGAAAGAACCATGAAAACAAGGAAGAGTTTTGTAGCACTTTGAGAGAGGCATCCCTTAAGCCTGTGATTTGGGAATACAGTCATCTCCATACTGGGTGTTATAAGTAAACAAATACGGGATCCCTAAATACAAGGTGCAGTAATCCTTCATGGATTACTGTCTTGTTGTGGTGAAGGGGCTTCATAGCTCAATGAAGCTATGAGCTATGCAGTGCAGAGGCACCCAAGATGGGCAGGTCATAGCAAAAAGCTCTGACAAAACGTGATCCACTGGAGAAGGTAACGGCAACCCACTCCAGTATCTTTGCCATGAAAACCCCATGGACAGTACCAAAAGGCAAAAAAAGGGGGGGCCTGGAGGAACACGACTTGGGTGGGACACGACTTCACAACTAACAACAACAAAATACAAAGTGGTATCAATGCCCTTTCCTAGAATCAGTGATGCAAGTATAAACGTTAAAATAAACAAACCCCTACAAATAGCTGTCCCCATCTTAAGTTATTAATAAACAGAAGGACAGACTGTGAATTTTTGGAAGGGCAGCGCATTATATTTCACCCCAAAGCACTGAAATAAATAAATAATAACCATGTTCTGAAGATGATGACTAATGGTGATGGCTGCATTTGTACTGCTCATAAACTCACAGTTAATGTAACTATTCCCCCTCAAGCCCTATTACGTAGCTCATCTTGAGGAAGGGGGTTGCTCTGAAAGGGATGAGCAAAGAATGCCAGAAGTGTACTCCATGCCCAGCAGGTTCATGCAAGGTAGGAAGGTCATTCCAGGTGCTTGGCTAAGTCAAGCAGGCATCTTTATTAGGCAGCAGTGATATAGGGAGATCCTGGAGATGGATGATCACATCGTTTCAAAATGCCTGGGATAGGCAGTTGTAAATGATTCATATATTACCAAGGAAGCCACAGGGATAGACAAGATAAAGCGATTGACAAGTCAGTGCTACATGATGGGGCTCTCAGATAAGAGGGTACTCAGTATATTATTAAGAAAGACCACTGGATCATTTGACATTCTAATGATGTTTATGATGCAGCTCAATTAAAGCCTTCTAAATGCATTGTTCCTTCATAGACATGTAGGAAAAGATGATCCAAAACTGCAATGTTGTGCTGTGGAACCCAGGGAATTTCTATAGTGAAAAATGAAATGAAGAACATACTGACATCTTAGGCATATAAATGGAAATGGACTGGAATTGGACGAGTCCAATTGGTCGAACCATGTGGTCCTGTCCACTATTAAACCATCTTTCCAAGCAGTCTCCATGTTACTAGTGTCTTTTTCCCCACTTGGAACTGAACCCAGATGGACATTTCTTCCAACAGAACGGTTGCAGTAACTGGGCGTGATTAGTCTAGTGAAGAGAAGGACCAGGGGAGACATGATAGCAGTCTTCCAAGATTTGAAGGGCTGCCACAGGCAGGAGTGGGTCGGCCTATTTTCCAAAGCACCTGAAGGCCAGACAAGAAATAATAGATGGAAACTGAACAAGGAGAGAATCAACCTGGAATTAAGGAGGAATTTTCTGACAGATCAACCAATGGAACAAAAGAAGTTGCCTTCAGAAGTTGTGGGAGTTTCATGACTTGAGACTTTCAAGAAGAGATTGGACTGCCATTTGTCAGAAATGGTGTAGGGTCTCCTGTTTGAGCAGGGAGTTGGACTAGATGACCTTCCAACTCTGTTATTCTGTATTCTGGACACACTGAAGTCAGAAAATTTTACTATTTATTGTGGGGGGGGGAGAGAGGGAGAGAGAGAGAGAGGGCCTTTCAATGAGTGTTGATTTCTGGTAAATGCCTAGACAAATCCCTGCAGTTTTCTTGGCAAGATTTCAAAAGTTCAATGGATTTCCTTGCCATTACTTTGTTCCTAGAGACCAGAGAGGGACTGACCCAAGATCACCAAGCTGGCTCTGTGCCTAAACTGGGACTGGAACTCGCTGTCTCCAGGTTTCTCACCTGGTACCTTAATTTGATTAGCACAAATTGGTTCTCGTGCTTATTACTAAGGTCATGTTAAAGAAGAGATAGTGTTGCTTTCAGTCTGGAAGGACACAGTAGAGAGTGTATTGGGGTACAATGTAGTCAGTTATCAGATTAACAGATTATATCAAATAGACTCTAATATGATGGTTATCCCAGTTTATGTTCCAGCCATTAATAGAAAAATAGGGTGCTCTTATGGTCACATTCAATCTGAAATTGACAGAATGCACAAGCAAGATGTGCTGCTTGTAGTAAGACCCTGGAATGTCAAACTTGAAAGCAATATGGAGGAAAATGTACCATATTCCTCAGAGTATAAAACGCACCAAGAGTTTGAAGAGGCAAATTTAAAAAAAAGTTTTTGTGCTCTGCAGACCTCCCCAAAACAGCCCATTTTTCACGAAAATGGGCCTGTTTTTTGAAAAAAAAAAAGAGAGGGGCATACATAGCCTTTAGGGGACTTGTAGAGTGCTCCTGGGAGCAAGGGGGGGGGGGCAAAAATGAGCACAAAATGGTAGGTTTTTTTTTGCAAAAACAGGCCCATTTTCTGTCAAAAGGGGCATACATAGCCTTTAGGAGCACTCTTTATAGAGTGCTTCTGGAGGCTGGGGGGCCATCCCCAGGCCCCAGGAGCACTCTGGATGCCTCCTAAAGGCTATGCATGGCCATTTTTGCCAATGGGACAGGGTTTCGGGAGCCCAAAAATGCTGTATTCAATCTATAAGATGCACCCAGATTTTCACCCTCTTTTTTGAGGGAAAAATGTGCATCTTATACTCTGAAAAATACAGTAGTTGGACTAGAAAACAAAAATGAAGCAGGTGAACAATTTAGCAGTTTCTCCCAGTCCAATTATTTCTTCACTGCTGAGATAGTTTTCAAACTACTAAAATGACAGCTATATTTATGGATATCACCAGACTCAGCACAGAAATGTGGTAGGTCCCCCCACACCTTTTGGGCTAGATCAGTGGTTCTCAACCTTCCCAATGCCACGACCCTTTAATACAGTTCCTCATGTTGTAGTGACCCCCAACCATAAAATTGGTGCCTTGGTTCCTAAGACCATTGAAAATATGTGTTTTCCAATAGTCTTAGGCGACCCCTGTGAAAGGGTCGTTCGACCCCCAAAGGGGTCCCGACTCACAGGTTGAGAACCACTGGGCTAGATGGATGGACTTCAATTACAGCAGCAATAGGGGTGCAGTTGGAAGGCCTGAAGGGTTGGGTATAGATTTTCCTGGAAAAAGTTGCCAGGACTCAACACTCACTTGATGGTTCATCATCAAAAATCAATCTAACTATGATTTTGTCAACCTGACTTTAGGGATTTACACGCCACAAGTTCATATGTTTAGATTTTAGATTTTAGATTTTTAGATTTTATTAATATTTGTAGGCCGCCCTTTTCCCTGAGGGGACTCAGGGCGGCTCACATAAAATCGGGGAAGGGGAATACAGACATTAAGATAGAAACATATAATAAAATAGTAAACAACATACATTCATCATTCGGGAGGGGTAACTATCTTTATCCCCAGGCCTGACGGGCGAGCCAGTTCTTAAGGGCTGTGCGGAAGGCCTGGACGGTGGAGAGGGTGCGAATCTCCACGGGGAGCTCGTTCCAAAGGGTCGGGGCTACTACTGAGAAGGCCCTCCTCCTTGTAGTTGCCAGCCGACACTGGCTGGCCGATGGGATACGGAGGAGGCCTAATCTATGTGATCTTATTGGTCGCAGGGATGTAATTGGCAGAAGGCGGTCTCTCAAGTATCCAGATCCACTACCATGTAGGGCTTTATGGGTGACTAATAGCACCTTGAAGCGCATCCGGAGATCGACAGGTAACCAGCGCAGCTCGCGGAGGATAGGTGTTATGCGGGTGAACTGGGGTGCACCCACAATCACTCGCGCGGCCGCGTTCTGTACTAGCTGAAGTCGCCGGATGCTCTTCAAGGGCAGCCCCATGTAGAGCACATTGCAG